AGAATGAAATCATAACAAAATTCTAAAATTTGGGCCAAAAAGGTAAATTTTGGACCAAATTTGTAATAAATTTTAAAATATGGGCCAAAAGTGTAAATTTTAGACCAAATTTATAATAAAATTTGAAATCTGAGCCAAAAATGTAAATTTTGAAAGTTGGATGACTTGTTGACCGGGTAGAAGGGTTAAATTGAAGACAATTACCGGTTTTTGGGACTTAATTGAATAAAAAAAAAGTATAGGAACTAAATCGATTATGAGGGCAATGTGTAAAGACTTTATAGCAGTTTTCCCGAAAACCAATAAGGGTAATTTTGGTCAATATAACAAGAAGGTATTTTGTTACTAATAATATGGGAGATCTTATTTTCTTATTAAACACAAATAGAACCAAAACTCCTCCACGAATGTTCTTTCTCCTTTACTTCCTTCCTTAGACATAACCATCGTCGGCCACCACTGGTAACCAACCCCACCACCGCCTCCTTCATCCCATTCGATGTCTCTTCTCTCTATCGTCATTGTGGTGCTTCATCTCCATCCACTTCTCTCTAATATGCATGAAAAGCACCGGATCTAGTCCATCATCACTACTACAAACCTCCGACGACTTTCCAGTAACCTCCGATGCATCAGATCTGTTACACACTGTTATCTTTGTCAATGTTGCCACCACTACTGTCCTGTTGTGTCATCCACCGCCGCTGCTTGTCGTCATTGACCACCAAAAGTCATCATTTTCATCAGATCTGATAAGATAGGATGAAAACTCATCACCGACGTTGTCCCCCGTCCCCTCAACTTTCATCGTATTGTCAAGCAATCTCGTTTTTTTGCTTCAGATCTGGAACCACCTCAAAAAATGACCTCACTGAGGTGTTATCACTTCATATCCATCATCGACCACCGCTTCACCGCGTGCAATCTCTGATGGCTTTTCTTTGTGCTTTTTACTTAGATCTAGTTAGATCTGAATGATTCTAGTGGTTTTTTCTCATCTTTGATCATGTTCCTAGTCCAGATCTTTCGATATTTGTTTAGATCTATAGCCTTCACCTTCAGATCTTCCATGAGCATCACCTACGCCTTCAGATCTACCATATTTCATCACCGGAACACTAGAAATCGTCAAGTTATGCTTCATCGGTGATAGATCTATGATCTCTTGTGACAAATCTACCATTTACGTCTCTAGATCTATGATTTATGCCTCCAGATCTACGGGCTCCAACAAGATAGATGGACCAGATCTGTATCGCCACCAACTGCCACTACTGCTACTGTCTTGCGGCTCTAGTGAAGCACCACCAACTCACCTCCATATCTTTCTCTCTGATACCAAATCTGCATCAGGTATGTCGATTTTTGATTTGATTGTTTTTTTTTGTTAAGTTGTGAATTTAAGTTTTAATTTCTCTTTTGTTGTTTACTATTGTTAATATTTGTTTTAACTGCTATTAAGTTGTGAATTCATTGTTATTAAGTTGTGAATCTACTGCTGTTAAGTTATAAATCCAAGTTTGTATTCCAATTTATTATAATCTTTGCATAAAATATTAAATTTTGAACCCGCTACTATTAAGTTGTGAATCGAAGTTTGTTTTCTTATTTGTCTAAAATTGATATTCATAGCATATGTTTTACGTTTTTATATTGTGAATTGAGTTTAGAATGTGTGTTCGTGTTTTCCAAAAAAAATGTTAATGTATATTTTTAAGGTGCGATAGTGATGTTTTAATGCTTCGTTTATTATTTTGTTGTTTTAATGTTAGTTTTAACTCTTATTAATAAGAAAATATAAGTTTTAAATTAAAAAAATAATTGATTTTTATAAGTTTTAAACTGTGAATGCATGATTTTTATAAGTCTCAAACTACAAATGCATGATTTTTTATAAGTTTTAAGATGTAAATTGACTGTATTAAGAGTTTTAGTTTGATAACTATGGCTATGAATGCATACTTCTTGTGCATTAAACTGTGAATTTATTGTATGAAGCTATGAATTTTGTGTATTAAACTATGATTTTTGTGTTTTAAACAGTAATTGATTACATTAAGCTGTGAATTTTCTGTTTAAACTATGAATTAATTATATTAATCTGTGAATTTTGTGTATTAAAATATGAACTTATTATATTAAACTGTGAATTTGTTGTAGAGTTTTAAGTTGATAATATGACTATGAATTTATATTTTTTGTGTATTAAACTGTAAACTTATTGTATTAAGTTGTGAACTTTGTATATTAAACTGTGATTTTGTGTTTTATACTGTGAATTAACTCCATTAAATTGTGAATTTTCTGTTTAAACTGTGAATTTTATGTATTAAAGTGTGATTTTTTTGTGTTTTAAAATGTGAATTGACTGCATTAAGCTATGAATTTTCTGTTTAAACTATGCATTGATTACATTAAGTTGTAAATTTTAATGAATTTTGTGTTCAAATATAAATGATTTATGTATAAATGATTATATTAATTTTTTTGCCAATATATTTATTTTTTCTGCTTTATATATGTAGAATGTATTAGTTTTTTATGATTATTTTGCATTAAACTCTAAATAACTGAATTAAATGATTTATTAAATTATGAATATAATATTTAAGATATCAATTAATGACTTTATATACAAATTCGATTTGGAATGATGGATGATTGGGACGGTGGCACATGTGGTTAGTGGTGACATACAGTAGTTGATAGTGTTAGTAAAGTTTTGGTTTGACTTCTTTAAATATGTGAATTAATGTATAATGAATTGTATTATGTTATGTTGTGAATTTTATGTATTAAACTAAAAATATTGTATTAAGTTGTATATTTTATATAAAATTTGTGTTAAAATATAAATTATGATACGCATGAAAAATAGTAATTGTGTATTAATGATTTAATAAATTTATTAAACTGTGAATTTATCTTATACACAGTATACTTTTTTACAAAAATCTATAATTCAGAAAAAAGTAATTTGAATTTGTTAAGGCATAATTCTATTTTTTATTAAAATTTTGTATATTTGACTGCAAAAATAAAATGGCATGTTTTAAAAATATTATCAAAGAAATATGAACTATAATATTTGTTATATTAAGTTTTGAATACAACCAAAAATGCCATTGAATTAAGAGTTATTTAGTCTAGCGGCGATTCGACGGTGGTCCGGCGTGGTTTGGCGGTTGTCCAACAAGTGGAAACTAGTTGTAAATCAGAGAATGAAGAAGTTTGCTTATAGAATATTAATATTTGATTTTCCCAAAATGTTCTTAATGAAAACATTTAAAATCTAGTTCTTAGGTTTCTTAACTTTTTGGATTCTTTTATATATATATATATATATATATATATATATATATATATATATATATATATATATATATATATATATATATATATATATATGGATAATTTGTGAAATGATCAAAAAAATGGAAGATGTTTGAAGAAAATGATCAAGAAAATAGATTTTTCAAAAAATGACCACAATTTCCGCAGAGAGGGTCTCTACGGAACTCCTTCATCTCGGAGGATAAAGAAAAGCTATGAGGAAGTGACATGGCAGGGGTAAATTTGTAAAAACACAAAATAATAATAATAATAATAATAATAATAATAATAAAAGGGACAAACAAAGATGGTGGTTGCCGATTCGAAGAAGTCGTTGCGGAAGCCGAAAATGGTGATACATCATTAAATTAACAACAAAACACATACCAAAATCGTTTTTAGGCCATGGTTCAGCGAAGATCAATTCCTCATATGCGTATCTCTGAAGAACGGATCTGCAGAGGCTGCTCTGCGGATCCTCAGTGCCCTCTACGGAATTGTCTAACAAAATTTAATGCTTTCAGCTACCAGTTCCGCAGAGCATTCAAGCGTTCCGTAGAGACGGCTTCTAAGGAACCATGCTCACAGACTTGATTTTTTTTCCCCACGTGTCCATTTCCTTATAGCTAAAGGAGTTCTGCAGAGACCATCTTTGCAGAACTCGTGGTCATTTTCTGAAACTTTCATTTTCTTGGTCATTTATTTCAGACATTCCTTTTTTTGTTATTTCACAAATTTCTCTCTCTCTCTCTCTCTCTCTCTCTCTCTCTCTCTCTCTCTCTCTCTCTCTATATATATATATATATATATATATATATATATATATATATATATATATATATATATATATATATATATATATAACCAATGAAAATTGCAAAGCAATAGAGCCCTATACGTACCTTTTTTATACAAAGTTCGAATTTTAGTCAAACAAGTTATGTTTGCCTCAAGATCCTCTTTTGAGATATTTTGACCACTATCAATAAAATTCCACCAATAAGTATTAATTTATTTTATTAATCTTTTAATAATTAAGTTTAGAGGAATTAATCATCTTATTCATTAAAATCGGGACTAATGAGAATTTAACATTAACCAATTTAACCATTTTAAAAAATATTTGCATTATAGGTATTCGACTGAAATTAAAACCTAGAAAAATTATAGAATATAAACTTACTGGTTATTTCTTGACTATGCAAAGACATAATAACCATTTTAAAAAATATCATTATATTAGTATAAAGAACACAACCTATTTAATCAAGAAGAAAATCTTGTTGGAAGTGTGTCTCAAATTCCATGAAATTTTGTGAACAAGGTTGAGTAATAACCAAAAAGAAATGAGTCACTACACACATTGTCCCTAGAAAACACATAAAAACTGGAAAAGTTTTCAAAAAGTCGGCAACTAAAAGATAAGTGCAGTAGTATTTGCCAAACCTTTTGCAATTACTTGTCAATACAAAATCACTTTTATGCATCCATCATGTGAAAAGTGGATTTCAATAACTAACACAACCTTTTGCAACAAAACCAAGTTGAAACTAATTACTCTGTGGTGTTTAGACATACACTTTTTAAAATAATTATCGCACTTAAAAATAAGTAGTTTTTCATTTATATCTCTTTTATGGCAATTCTTTAAATCCGATTTTTTTCACCTTAATACTCAAACTCATCATATGCCATTCCCCTTTATAAGGCTTTCACCTTCCTCTCTTTTCTCAAGGATTTCAAACACCATCTCCTTTCTTTATAACTACAAACTAGAAAAACCAACTTCGTTCTCTTTGCCTCCACCACCACCACCACCACCATGCTTAAACATAACACTCTTGTGTTCAAGATCTTGACGGCTCTAATACTAGGCTGTGACTTCAACCGGAGCAGAATCTCTTCCACCACCAACCTCCACCATGCAACACTCACGTCATTAACGACAGAACTGAAACTCTCCGGTGAACTCCAATTCGACAACCTCCACCATGCCGCCAAAGACTTCGGCAACCGCTACCACCTCCTCCCGGCCGCCATCCTACACCCCAAATCCGTCTCCGACATCTCCTCCCTCATCACCTACATATTCCAAATGGGACCCACATCAGGGTTAACCGTGGCGGCACGGGGCCACGGTCACTCCCTCGAAGGCCAAGCACAAGCCCACCACGGGGTGGTGGTCAACATGGAATCATTCGGTCAATCTCAAGGAATGCAATTCCATATCCATGGTGACAAACCGTTTGTAGATGTCTCAGGTGGTGCACTTTGGATAAATATTTTGCATGAAAGTCTTAAACATGGTTTTGCACCAAAATCATGGACTGATTATCTTCATCTAACCGTTGGTGGCACGTTATCCAATGCGGGGATTAGTGGACAAGCTTTCCGACATGGACCTCAGATCAATAATGTCTACCAATTACAAGTTGTTACAGGTATTTTTACTCCTTTACTCGATAACAAAATGAGTGTCGATATAGATTTTGCAAAAAGTTTTTCTACCAAAAAAATTAACAAGAATAGAAAGATGTGGCAAAGGCATGATGCCATATGGATGATAGGAGGAATAGTGATGACAAACTAACGACATTGTCATATTATAGCCTGGGGAAAAGACTTTTTTTGAGGGACCAACTAAAAAGAAAGTACAACTACAATTTCTTGGAACATAAGGGTATCCGAAAGTGACTAATCTTGAAGGGTACGATGGTAAATTAACATTATGTAAAAGTGACAACAAGTAGTGTCTACTCAGATACCCACCAATTATAGGAGATAAAAAGCTTTATTTTAACTGAATTTTTTTGCAGGGACAGGACAAGTAGTTATATGTACAGAGGACATGAATTCTGATCTCTTTTATGGTGTTCTTGGAGGACTTGGTCAATTTGGCATCATCACTCGAGCTCATATTTCACTTGAACCCGCACCCAAAATGGTAATTAATTATTTTCGTTGTAAGTCAGTGTCATCAAACACAGTACAGTCTGTTATGTTATGTTCTGTGATATTGTACGGGTACGTGAAAAATGGGATCTAATTCTTGATTTTGACAGGTGAAATGGATTAGAGTTCTTTATTCGGATTTCACTACGTTTACGAAAGATCAAGAGAAATTAATATCATCCGATAGTTCGTTCGATTATGTTGAAGGGTTTGTGTTGATAAACAGAACTGGGTTGCTTAATAATTGGAGATCTTCTTTTAAATGTAAAGATCCTGTTCAAGCAAGTCGGTTTTTTTCTGATGGGAAAACTGTCTTTTGTTTGGAAATCGCCAAGTACTTTAAGCAAGAAGATGCTGAAACCATTGATCAGGTACTTCGATAGATTTGTTTATTATAGCTTCTTATTTTCATTTATGTTTGTTTCAAACCATACTTGATATAATTTATGTTTGTTTATATGCAGAAAATTGAAATGTATTTGTCGAAATTGAATTACAATGAATCCACGTTGTTCGTATCGGAAGTGTCGTATGTGGAGTTTTTGGATAGGGTTCATGTGTCAGAGTTGAAGCTGCAGGAGAAGGGGCTATGGGATGTTCCTCATCCATGGTTAAATCTTCTTGTTCCCAAAAGCAAAATCCACAAATTTGCAAGTGAAGTTTTTGGGAAAATTCTCACTGATACTAGCAACGGGCCTATACTCATTTACCCAGTCGACAAGTCTAGGTAATCTTACAATAATTGGCTTGATCAGACAGAACAGAACAAAACAGGTTGTACTGCATTTGACATGCATTGGATTGGGGACCAGGACCAACGTCAATGGGACAAAACAAGATGAGACAGGGATTCACTTGCGATCTCTAGTCTGTGAAAAAAACATAAATACCCTCCCCATCCTCATCATCAAAAATAGCCCTAGAAAGACTGTCTATCTGGTTATGCCCCGTCTTGTGTAACAAACACAACCTTAAGGTTGTGTTTATTATACAAGACGGGACAAGACGAGACAAGACAGGCTTTCAAGCGCTATTTTTGATGAGAATGATGAGGAGGGTATTTACGTCTTTTTTCACAAACGATAGATCGAAACCGAATCTCTGTCCCATCTTGTTTAGTGTGACAAAAATTGCAATTTTTGTTCCATTGGCATCGTTTCCAGTCTCAGTCCTACTCCAATACATGTCAAACACAGTACAAATAAAACTTTCATCATTGTACCAATGTTTTAAGTTGTGGTTTTGTATACTTTTTTTGTAGGTGGAACACCAAAACATCGATGGTGACCCCAACAGAGGATATCTTTTACCTGGTGGCATTTCTATCTTCAGCAATGCCATCATCGGAAGGAACAGACAGCTTAGAATACATTCTAAATCAAAACAAAAAGATTCTAGAAGTATGTGAAAGTGCTAAACTTGAAACCAAGCAGTATTTACCCCATTACAATACCCAAGAGGAGTGGAGAACACATTATGGGAGTCAGTGGGATGTTTTTGTTAGAAGGAAATTAACGTATGACCCTCTAGCAATATTAACCCCTGGTCAAAGAATCTTCCAAAAAGTAACCAGTTATTTATAACACCACAAGTATCCATATGAATCTAACTCGAAGTAGAAATGCATAAAAAGTTATAAAATGATTAAATGTACATATTAATTGGAAATCTTTTGTAATTTTCCCTGGTGCATTTGTGACAACGAGCCGTATATAATATGGTAAATTTCCATCATGTTAATTTTGGTAATTACTTGGAGAAAAAAATGAAATATATCATTTTTAAATAACGGTTAAGTGCAAGAAATAGTAATCTATTTTCCTTGATTAGTTTGTTATAGCATCCTACTTTTATTACTCATATTAAAGTATTGCACATTAAAAAATCTACTCAAATATAACAATTAAACAATGTCATCTAAAAACAAAGTAATTTCCATTGCTATAAATAGGTAAAAATATTTAATTACATCTTAATAAGGAGAAAGAAAATGGAAGTAGGATGTTATAATACTCCCAATAAATAAAAGTGCATTGATATTTCTTAAGATCAAGTACAAAGAATTTAGACAAGAAATCTCCAAATGCATCTTCTTTTGTTGGACAAATATCAATATATTACTGAACTAATCAGTAGTTGTAAGTTGTAACCTGATTCCACTTAAATCTAAACCTTTCGACCATATATAAACTAATCACTATTTTTAACCTATTCCACAAAATCTAAGGCTTTCGACAACATTTACGTATGTTTTCTACAGCATCTGAAGGCATTATGTTATTGGGAGTGACAGTTATTATACAATTAAGTAGCAATATTGCATTGTCTGCGTAACGGGTGATGAATCCAGTACAATGTTCCAATTCATAGGTCGCCATAAACGAAAAGGATCCAAACAGACGAACATGAAAACGAATTTGTCAAATTGGGAAAGAAAAGGGGGAATTAATTAGGGTTTAGAAGAATTATAGAATTAGGATTACCCGCTGAGTAGACCATCGCTTCGAACATGTGGGCCTGTTTAGATCGCTTAGATTCCATGATTGAGGTTTTGTCCCAACTCTCAAGATAAACTCAAAATATTTTTAAAGTAAATGGGCTGAATGGTTTCTGTAGTACGTAGTTTTCTTGTGTTGGTTTAGAATGATTTTTTATTATATATTTTTTTTAATGTTGTCAATATTGGATTTTATTTAGGATTGTTTTAAACTTTACAAGATCATTGATCATATAATTGAATCGGATCAAAGATTCTATCAAATTGAATTAGATTCAAAATTTGTTCGTCAATCTTGTTTGCATAGTACCCGTTAGAATTTGACATTGATTAAGATATCGATGATAGAATTTTCTTTAATTTATTAAGCATGAACCATAACTCTTATTCCTAAAACCCGTAGAAATTAGGAAAAAAACATCTTTAGCAGAAAAATTAACAAGATCATTATAACAATGTATAACTAAAGGCATACAGATACAAAGAGAATAACATAAGTGTAACATAGTGTATAACTCAAGATAAATGAATGAAGTCATGATACTCTATGGAACTTATTACGACCTGCAATGCTCAATTTTGAGTAAAGTGAATGAATATATTTGAGGTCCGATTATATAAAAAGACTAAAAATACGAGATCATATCGAATTAAGATCTAAGATCCTAGTCGGAATCCTAAGATCCCAATATAGATCTTTGTTTAAAAAATCTTAGTGTGATTGTCATAGTTTTTTGCTTGTGATATATAAATAGATAAATGTTCAAATGATAACCAAAAAAGAATAAGAACCATTAACATTTAGAGCAAAAACCTTCATTTATATCCTTCAACCACCAATCTGATGAACACCATCATTGTCATCGGTTGTTGCACCACCTCCCCCACTAGTGACGACGACTTCACCACCACCACCAGTGACGATGTCTCCACCACCGCTAGTATCTCCGATATGGTGTGCTTTCTCATATTCTGATCAGAATATCTTCCTCCTACATTCGATGTCATGTTATACCACCCCCTTCATGTCTAAACATCCATCGCCACTGCTTCCATACACTCTTTTCTGCAGATCTACAAGATTCGGCTCCAGATCTATGATTTTTTATGCTAGATCTACAATTTCCTCCTTCAGATCTACAAGTTTTTCAGCTAGATCTCGTGATATGGAAGGAGTTCCGATGGGATCTCGAGACGTAGAAGGATTTCCGAGGAAATCTAATGTTCAGACAAAGGAGTTCCGATGGAATCCAAGTTGGCACCGGTGCCGCCCTCTAGATGTGCGATTTCTGCTCTGGATCTATGAGATCCACCGCCATTCAACCACTATAGAACCACTAGTAGTGTCTTCCTCCTCCAGATTTGTAAGTTCTGCCACTAATCGCCACCAACAACGACGACTACAATGTCACTGACGATTGACGAGGCGAGTTACAGGAGCATCAGCATCCGACGACACCAGATCTATGAGATCTTATGGGTGGCAAAGCTAGATCGATAAGATTTTGTGGTGTTGTTACACTGATGTGTCACTCATCATCTTCTTTACATCAGGTACATTATGATGAGGCTCATATGAGAGTTTTTTAACCTTTGTACAATTATTTTCATGTTTATTTATTGTTTTTACATCTTACTCCATCTTTGCTACCTGTTACGTGTTAAAGGCTTAGTAAAAATCAGAATCAATAATCATTTCATGATGCACACAATGTGTTTGATGACTTTGCCTGAATGAAAATTTGAAACTGTAAATAGTGTTTTTGTACATTAAGTTGTGAATAAGTGTATAAACTTATGTATTAATATTTGAATAAACTAAATGCTATTGTGATTTTTTTTTTTTTTGTATTTATGAATAATCTAAGTTCTATAAGTATTGTGAATGGTTTTTTTTATGCATACAAGGTGTTTGATGATTTGTGTGAATGAAAATAATAAATTTTGAAAAAGTGTAAACTGCTTTATTAAAATGGGAATTAAATTCTTGAAATGTGAGTTTTAATTTGAGAATATAGTAATGAATGTATAATTTTTGTGTATTAAACAGCAAATTTACTATACTAAGTTGTGAACTTGTGTATTAAATTGTGAATTTATTGTATTAAGCTGTTAATTTTGTATATTAAATTGTAAATTAACTGTATTAAGAGTTTTAAGTTGATAATATGGTTGTTAATTTATACTTTTGTGTATTAAATTATGAATTTATTGTAATAAGTTGTGATTTTATGTATTAAGCTATGATTTTTATGTTTTAAACTGTGAATTAACTGCATTATCTGTGAATTTTTTGTTTAACCTGTATTAACTATATTAAGTTGTAAATTTTTTGTATTAAATTTTTATTTTTGTGTTTAAAAATGTGAATTAATTGCATTAAGCTGTGAATTTTCTGTTTAAACTGTTAATTGACTGTATTAAGCTGCGAATTTTTATTGAATTTTGTGTTAAATATGAATGCTTTATGTAAGTATGATTATATTGAGTTTCTTATGAGTATATTTATTTTTTGTGTTGTATAAAAATGTAAAAACGTAATAATTTTTATTATTATTTTACATTAAACTCAAAATTAGTGAATATGGTTTCTTAACTGTGAATATAATATTTAAGTTATGAATCTATGATTTTATATATATGATTGTATATACAAATCTGATTTAGAAAGAATAATGGATGCGACGGTGGTATGGTTGGTTGTTGGTGGCATGTGGTAGTTGGTTGTCTCAAAGTTTTCATTTAACTTATCTGAATATGTATATTTGTGTATATATTAATATTAATTGTATTAATTTATGAATTTTATGTATTAAACTGAAAATTAACTGTATTAAAGTGTGTATTTTATATAAATTTTGTTTTAAAGTATGAATGAATATATTAATGAAAATAATAGACTGTGAATTACTGAAATAATATGTTTATTAAACTGTGAATATGATATTTTAAAGAGAGAAAATTAAAACTGTCCAGGCATAATTTTATTTTTTTTATTAAATTTTATATATTTGGCTGCAAAAATGAAATTGTAAGTGTTAAAAAATATTACCAAATAAATAGAAGCCAAAATGTTTGTTCTATTAAGCTATGAATACGGCCAGAAAAATGTCACTAAATTTGGTATTGCTCTGGCGGTTGTCCGGCGTTGGTCTGATGATGGTCCGACGATAAGTGACAACTTTTGTAAACTAGAGAATGAAAAAGTTTGCTTAAAATAATATTAATGTTTGATTTGTCCAAAATACATTTAATGAAAATATTTTAAAAATGGTTCTTAGAGTTCTTAACATTTTTGGATTCTCATTTAAACCACTCACTATATATATATATATATATATATATATATATGGGAAAAATGAATATACACATACGGGTATATAAGTTTAGGTACCCAAACTCACTATATATATATATATATATATATATATATATATATATATATATATATATGTATGGGAAAAGTGAATATACCCATAAGGGTATATAAGGTTAGGTACCCAAACTCACTATAATACGTTGTTCTGTTTGATATATTCATTATATTGTTGTTCAACTTCTATCCCTAACTTGATTTACTTTCAAGATTTTTAAAATTTCACTATTATCTTCCTCTTATATCACATTTTTTTTGCCGAACACCTAGTAGACTATATATATTATAGTTCAAAATGAAATTATGTAAGAGGAAGACAAATGTGAAATTTATAAAAATATTGAAAGTAAATCAAGATTGAAGTTGAAGTATAATAATATTGGACAATTACAATGTATATATATAATACAAAACGATGTGGTATGATGAGTTTAGGTACCTAAGCTTATATACCCTTAAGGGTATACTCACTTTTCCCTATATATATATATATATATATATATATATATATATATATATATATATATATATATATATATATATATGGGAAAAGTGAATATACCCATAAGGGTATATAAGTTTAGGTACACAAACTCACTATAATACGTTGTTTTATTTTATATATTCATTATATTGTTGTTAAAATTCTATCTCTAACTTGATTTACTTTCAAGATTTTTAAATTTTCACTATCATCTTCCTCTTATATCACATCTTTTTGCCAAACACCTAGTAGACTATATATATATATATATATATATATATATATATATATATATATATATTATAGTTCAAAATGAAGTTATGTAAGAGGAAGATAAATGTGAAATTTATAAAAATATTGAAAG